TCTTCATTTACAGCATTATTTCACAACTGCTTAAAACTTTCCCACAGAACGATGTATATCTATTTTGTTTTAGGTTTTTTTTTTTTTTTTTTAAATCAAAAGCTTGTGATATGGCGATATACATCAGAACACTCCAAGAACAAACATTTTAAATCTATCACTAATATACCTGGAAGCCAGTATTGTAGAATAGAAAAAAAAAAAAACAGGCTTAATGAAAGGGCACAGAACTGCATGCACTGCAATGTTGTGCTTCTGATAATCTTCAGAATGAAGTATGCTGGTGTATGGGATTATTTTTTGATGATACTAAGTAGATATATCTCCCAGTTTAATCGCATCACCCAAACCTGACATGAACATTCACCTCCTAATGATGCACACTATATGGTGTCTCAAAGGCAACCTAAAATGTGAGCATTGATCTATAACCCTTTTAGTGATTGTCAGACTGGGTACACTTAACAACACCCTCCACATAAATGAAGTAGGCTAACAGCAGACACTACAATATACGTTATGGGTTTGCTGTCCATTTAGTGATGCAGTAGGTATTTAACCTGGAGGTTATACTGCCGTCTGTAGGATGACTGGACACTGGCACAGACAACTTGCTTTTGCTTCAGTTAAAACATCTCTACAATACTGCTGGAACTTTGTCTCATTGATTGCATTCCTGTGTGATCGTACGTCAGCTTGGCTTCTGGAGTCCTATGTGCAGACCCCACTGGACTGGACAGCCTAGAAGTGACCTTTGGGTTCCAGGTTTCACAATGGATGCTTTCTGGTCCCCATTCTGGTAAAAGTTAGCTGTGGAGTGCTTTCCAGGTCCAGAGCTGTTGGTATTGCCTCAGTGCATGTGCTGTCACTGAATACTCATTTAGTAAGTCAGTCAGGTCATACAATGAGAACTACCTTGTTGTGGTTACCAAGTTACTTTGTAGAAGGTGAGCTGGGGGTACCTGGTGCAGCAACCTAACAATTCTGGGGCTGCAATTTCTGGCAACTCCAATCTCTGCAGCCTAGAATCATATTATATAGTCTGTTCCATCCCTAGAGTTCTTGACTGTTGGGTGTAGGTGGGCCCTTTCTTCAGGTCCTACTGCAATTTTATGACCCAAATCAACCAGTCATTTGAAGACTGATCACAGAGACCTCAAAAGCATGCTCCTGCTCTGTCCCCCACAAAATTCCACATAGGTGGTGTGTCCCCCTCGCCCCAACTATTACTTCCAAAACAGACGCAGTGCCCACAACTGTGAAACAAGAAGATCAGCTGGTTACTTTTAACAGGAGTTTTAAAAGACCCAAGGCTGGAATATGCACTAAGACCACAAACATTCCTTTTGTTCCAACTTTTCCAACCATTCCTCAGTAAGGATTGGAAACATCCGTTTTCTCCCATAAGTGCAAAGTTAATCTCTTCCCACCGCCGCCTCCTGACCTTTTAGGAGGTTCTAGATGGTGGAGGCAAGCACTCCGATCATGTGACCGCTGTGATTGGCAGTCACATGATCAGAAAGTTCCCGATGGAAAGTATGCATCAGCAGCTTTCAGGTACCCCCCATTAACTATGCTGAGAGCGAGCAGGGTACATGTTCTCAGCACGGGAAGATGTTTACATAAGGCTGCATTTACAGTCATATCCATAAATATATTGGGACATCGAAACAATTCTAACATTTTTGGCTCTATACACCACCACAATAGATTTGAAATGAAACAAACAAGATGTGCTTTAACTGCAGACTGTCAGCTTTAATTTGAGGGTATTTACATCCAAATCAGGTGAACGGTGTAGGAATTACATCAGTTTGCATATGTGCCTCCCACTTGTTAAGGGACCAAAAGTAATGGAACAGAATAATAATCATAAATCAAACTTTCACTTTTTTTAACCACTTCCAGTCTGGACACTTTTACCCCCTTCCTGACCAGGGCAATTTTCAGCTTTTAGCGCTATCACACTTTGAATGACAATTGCGCGGTCATGCAACACTGTACCCAAATGAATTTTTTACCTTTTTTTAGATAGATAAAGCTTTATTTTGGTGGCATTTATTCACCGCTGGGATTTGTATTTTTTTTGCTATGTAAATGAAATGTCCAAAAATTTTGAAAAAAAAGTGTTTTTTTTATAAAATTTTGCAAAAAATAATATTTCATCATAAATCTTAGCCAAAACTTATTCCGTTATCTTTTTAGTAAAAAAAGAAAAATCCAAATTAGTTTATAAGCAAAAATTATAATTTTTAAACATTTTTTTTACATTTCATATTATTTTTTATTTTTATTTATTTTTTTTACATACTGTCACCCTAGCAGTACAGTGTCACCGTGGTGACACTGTACTACTTGTGAGGGGTGATGAAGATTTTTTTTTTTTTTTTTTTACACTGATTGCTTTTACACCCATATAGGATGTAAAAGCAATCATTTCTCTTTCTCTCTGTGTGCATTCCTGCACTCATTGAGAAGAACTGAGTGAGCTGTGATTGGTCACAGCTTGTCACATGGTACAAGGTTTTTGTGAATAGCCTTGTACCATGTGACCTCTGTGATCATTCACAGATTTCACACATAGTAAGCAATGATGTCAGAAGTGACATCTTGTTTACTACTTTGCATGTGATCACCAATTGGCCAATCAGTGATCACATGATCGGGACCTCGTACAGAGGTCCCGTCCGACGATCGGTGTTTCACTGTGTTTCACAGCGGGCACCGGATCGTGGTGCTGCGCGCTCCCAGGGAGCGCGCACAAGCAGGGTGCGGGGAGGCAGTTTATAGACGGCCACCCGACCCTGCAGTGCCACCGTCCGGCCGTTTATATACAACGGCCGGTCGGGAATTGGTTAATACGTGGTTGCAAATCCTTTGCAGTCAATTACAGCCTGAAGTCTGGAACGCATAGACATCACCAGACGCTGGGTTTCATCCCTGGTGATGCTCTGCCAGGCCTCTATTGCAACTGTCTTCAGTTCCTGCTTGTTCTTGGGGCATTTTCCCTTCAGTTTTGTCTTCAGCAAGTGAAATGCATGCTCAAATCGGATTCAGGTCAGGTGATTGACTTGGCCATTGCATAACATTCCACTTCTTTCCCTTAAAAAACTCTTTGGTTGCTTTTGCAGTATGCTTTGGGTCATTGTCCATCTGCACTGTGAAGTGGCATCCAATGAGTTGTGAAGCATTTGGCTGAATATGAGCAGATAATATTGCCCGAAACACTTCAGAATTCATCCTGCTGCTTTTGTCAGCAGTCACATCATCAATAAATACAAGAGAACCAGTTCCATTGGCAGCCATACATGCCCACGCCATGACACTACCACCACCATGCTTCACTGATGAGGTGGTATGCTTAGGATCATGAGCAGTTCCTTTCCTTCTCCATACTCTTCTCTTCCCATCACTCTGGTACAAGTTGATCTCGGTCTCATCTGTCCATAGGATGTTGTTCCAGAACTGTGAAAGCTTTTTTAGATGTCGTTTGGCAAACTCTAATCTGGCCTTCCTGTTTTTGAGGCTCACCAATGGTTTCCATCTTGTGGTGAACCCTCTGTATTCACTCTGGTGAAGTCTTCTCTTGATTGTTGACTTTGACACACATACACCTACCTCCTGGAGAGTGTTCTTGATCTGGCCAACTGTTGTGAAGGGTGTTTTCTTCACCAGGGAAAGAATTCTTCGGTCATCCACCACAGTTGTTTTCTGTGGTCTTCTGGTGTTGCTAAGCTCACCGCTGCGTTCCTTCTTTTTAAGGATGTTCCAAACAGTTGCATGTCTCCAACGTTCCAGCACATCAGAGATTCCTGCGCTTTGCTGTTGGGCCCCACCCAGGTCTTCAGCCTCTCATCTGCACCTTGAAAATTCACCAAGGTGTTGGCCCCAGTACTAGCCCTTCATTTTCATGAGATACTTAAAGCAGAACTATACTGAATCTGAGCACCACAAAGTAAACACCACTTAATTAATTTTTAGTATTCAAAGCAAACTCCCCCAATCCATGTCCTAATGCTTTATTTTTCTGAGAAATCACTTTGAAAAAACACCCCTCTACTCAAGATGGCCAAGGCCAGAAATGCTAAAGGTTGATTCATGTCATTCATTCATTGTCATTTACTTCCTGAAATCCATCTGCCCTTAGTTTAGGCATACCAGTAACAAGGAGGTGCTTAGCTGAGATAGCCCCTCCTGAAGACTCCTGGGATGCAAGACATCATTTGCCTAGGCAAGAAACCAGGAAGTAACTGAAGAAACATAAAAAATACTTTGAAACAAGTAAATGATATACCTTCCTATTCTTTTACCAACACTAGCAGCATGAGGATTAAAAATAGTCAATGTTAACTGAGAGTGAAGTTTTGCTTTAAGAGAACAGACAGTGCAGGTTCTATTAGACTTCTCCAACTTGAGACTGAAGATGGTATTAACCTGCACAGAGCTCACAGTTTGGAGGCTCAGGATAGGAGCCAAGAAAGAATGGTATTTTAAAGGTTTTTTTGCTGCCTGCCATTAACTGCTTTATGAGAGAGAGAGAGAGAGAGAGAGAGAGAGAGAGAGAGAGAGAGAGAGATTATGGAGTCTAAGGCTCAGCTCACACTAAGGTGGTGCTGAATTTGCAGCAATTCCTGTGCGATTCCCTAACTGCACTACGTGTTCATGCGATCTGCGGGTGTCAAAGTTAATGACGCCCCAAAAACAGGTTGCAAAACAGTGCGACTGCCTGAATCGGATCACATAGGTGTAATCACCCATACAATGCAATTAAAGTGCAGCAAAAAAAAAAAAAAAAAAAAAGGAAACCTGCACCTTTTTAGTGCGGTTGCGGTGCAGTTTGGCTCATACAAAATGCACAGGCAAAAAAAAAAAAAAAAAAATTGCACCGCACAGAATCACAAATGATTTGAACAGGAATGCAATGTTATTCCTGCGCGACTCACATGCGGTTCCCCGCACCGCATCAGTGTGAACCGAGGCTTAATAACCCAGAATTGTAGCTACCAGTTTTGCTGTAATCTTTCGGCTTGTGTTTTCCTTACCTGATATATTTTGGCATCTCTCATTAGCTTCTCCACGGGGTATTCACTGTTAAAGCCATTGCCACCAAAAATCTGCACAGCGTCTGCAGCCACCTGATTGGCAATGTCCCCAGCAAAAGCCTTGGCGATAGAGGCATAGTAGGTGTTCCTTCTGCCTGCATCCACTTCCCATGCTGCTCTCTGGTATGCCAGGCGAGCCAGTTCCACCTTCATGGCCATTTCAGCAAGCATGAATGAGACAGCTTGATGCTAAGACAGATTTGAAGAATGTACATTTGAGAGATATAAATATATATATTTATTAATAAAGACATACCTAGATTTGTTTTGGTTTTTTTTTTTTTAAACCTAATAAAGTTTACTTTAACCCCAGCCTCACCCCCTAACCCTCAACCTTATACAAAGCTACCATCCTTGTAATATTTAAAGTGGACCTGCAAAAATGCAAGGTCTGCCTATCTTGTAGACAACATACCCCCTCCCCCATGTAAGAAAGCAATTATATAGGAAAATGGTAAGGACACAAAATCCTGCACAATGCTCTGAGATGTTTTCAGGAAATTTTAGATTTTAGAGCAGGGCCCTCAGATTCCTCCTGTATTGAATTGTATTGTAACTGTACTGTCTGCCCCCATGTTGTAAAGCGCTGTGTAAAATGTTGGTGCTATATAGATCCTGTATATTAATGAGATTTGGATTCTCAGTTTTGCCAGGAGAAGGCCAGGCGATGTCACCAATGCATACAAGAAACAGCTGGAAGCTGTTATAGGGAAAGTAACTTAGGCTAGCCATACATGGATTAAAATGCAACTGGTTTAGCAGGGACCGGCCAAACTTCAATCCATGTATGGGCTATCTGGTTGTACACAAGTCAATCAATCAACTTGTGTACAACCAGTCTATCAGGGTTCTCCCAAATGATCAGTTCCTCTGGCTATAGCCGGCACTACAATAACACAGTGGGAGTGATACACATTGAGTGTGTGGATGGGGGAATCAGATCATTTTTACATTAAAATAATCAATGTCTGGGCTGCCTTACTTTCTCTGATTTTTTTTTAGATGGGGTGGGGGCCTACAAGCTAAGCAAACTTTGTATTTACATTCTGCACAAAATTATATCAGTGTGCAGCATTCACATACCTCAGCAAGGAGTTTTCCAAATGTTCTCCTCTCCATTGAGTATTTAGTAGCTTCATCCAAAGCTCTCTGGGCGAGACCAACAGCACCAGCAGCCACCTGCAACAAGGATATGAGCAGTCATGCAAAAGGTCTCTCTATACGCAGAGGACTTATACAGAACAGAGAACTTACTGGTGGTCTGGTCTTATCAAAGGCTCCCATTGCGATCTTAAATCCAGCCCCTTCCCCAATTAGGACATTCTCAGCGGGAACTCTGACGTCCTCAAACACAATGCCCCTGGTGTCTGAGCATCGCTGGCCCATGTTCATTTCCTGTAAAGCACAGAAAGCATTTATAAATATCTATTGAAATATGAAAGTAAATCCACATGTATAACTAACTTTCCATGGCTTTATTTAATATAAAAAAAAAAAACCATCACAAACACATTCATATTCAACCGTAGGGCATAACAGAATGGCACAAACATAAATCAAAATATGGCAACAAGTACACAAGTGAAATGCCCCCTGTTCAAAAGTCTGCATCCCCTTAGTTGTTAATCCTGTGTATTGCCCCATTTAGCATCAATGACAGTGTACAGTCTTCTGTAATGGTTGTCTATAAGGCCCCGATTTCTTGAAGGTGGTAGAGCTGCCCATTCATCTTGGAAAAATGCCTCCAGGTCATGCAAAGTCTTCGGTGGTCTTGCATAAACAGCATGTTTGAGATCTCCCCAGAGTGGCTCAATGATATTAAGGTCAGGATTCTGTGATGGCCACTCCAGAACCTTCATCTTTTTCTGCTGTAACTTCTGGATGGTCAACTTGGCCTTGTGCTTGGGGTCATTGTGGTGCTGGAAAGTCCAAGAATGTCTCATGTGCAGCTTTTGTGAAGAATGCAAATGGTCTGCCAGTATTTTCTGATAACCTGCTGCATTTGTCTTGCCATCAATTTTCACAAGATTCCCCATGCCTTTAGAGCTCACACACCCCAAAACATCAGTGAATCACCACCATACTTCACAGTAGGGATGGTATTCTTTTGGCTACAGGTCTTGTTAACTCCTCTCCAAACAAAATGCTTATGGTTGTGACTATAAAGCTCTATTTTGGTCTTTTCACTCCAGATTACAGAGTGCCGGAGGCTGTGAGGTGTGTCAAGGTGTCCCGGCATATTGTAACCGGGTTTTTGTGTAATTGGCGCAGTAAAGATTTCCTTTCTGGTATTGTGACCATGCAGCTCATTTTTGTTCAAGTATCATTCATATTGTGCTCCTTGAAACAACCACACCATCTTTTTCCAGAGCAGCCAGTATTTCTCCTGAGGTTACCTCTGGGTTTTTCTTTGTATCTTGAACTATTCTGGCAGTTGTGGCTGCAATCTCTTGGTCTACCTGACCTTGGCTTGGTATCAAGAGATCCCTGAATTTTCCACTTTGTAATAAGTGATTGAACAGTACTGACTGGCATATTCATGGCTTTGGATATCCTTTTCTATCTTTAATGGTTCCATTAACTTATTATGCAGGTTTTTTGACAGTTCTCTTCTGCTCCGCATGGCTCAGTATCTAGCCTGCTCGGTGCATTCACGTCAGAGCTAATAAAGTCATTGACTATTGGTACAAACACTGTAATTTGTGTCTGTATAAAGGCCAAAAATTCCAGGGTATGTAAACTTTTATTTGGAGCCATTTGGGTGATTTCTCTTAAGGATTTAAAAAGAAGCCAAAAACTATGTTTATTTATAGATGGTGGTCATATGAAGCCATTTATTATCAAAGAGTGTTTTGGCCTGATTCATTTTTTTCACCATTTTGTTGTAAAAAGCAGACACACACACACAGTCCAGGAAGCAGCTTTCGCTGCAATAATTGCCTCCTTTCCATCTCTTTTCCCCTTTGACAACTCACCACACCTTGGTCCAGCGTTGCCAGGGTTGAATGATGCTTGCTGTGTATCAATTTCCTTCTTGTGAGCCCAGGGCACCATCATGTCACCCTACGCTCATAGCACAATGCTGCAAAGAATGTGGCTGACATGTCAGTGAGGCCCTCTATATCACTGAGGACCATCCAAAGCTGGAGGTGGGGTGAAGTGGATGACAACCCTGCAAATCACAGAAATACAAATAGTTTGGCAGATTGACAGATGTCTGTGCGTCTTATGGAGCATATATGGAGCGGCCAGCCCAGTATTTCCCCCGTCGCATTAGAATACCGGGCCGGCCACACGGCTCTTCTGTGCAGCAGAACCTACTCCTCAGTCCTACCTGTTCCTTGGTCCATCGGTGTTCTCATCACCGCTGGTTTCACCGGCATCTTTAGTGTGGGCACCCAGCTGTGACAGCTTGTGGCTTCACAGCCGGGTGCCCACTGCACATGCGCTAGAAGCGCTGCGCTTTGTGAATGGCCCCGTAGTCTTCTGGGACCTGTCACGTGTCCCAGAAGACTACGGTGAGGGACCACTCCCCCCAGGTCCGCAGTCTCTGGTCATCTCCTGCGCTGTGTCCGCAGTCCATTGGTTCAGAATAATGTTTTTTTTTGTTTTCCTCCTCTAAAACCTAGGTGCGTCTTATGGAGCGAACTATACGGTATATAAAAGTGCAGCGCTAAAAATGTGAATACTATATAATAACCTAATTGACACAAGGGAGGAAAAAAAAAAAAAAAAAAAAAAGCAAAAAACCATTGAAATGAATAATTAAGTCCCAGGGCAAAAGCACACTGGAAAGTCTTTAAATACAAATCATATGTCTTCAATCACTGGGATGATTATGTATATCCAAGTGCAGCACATATCACCCCACTCAGTGTAAAATAGCCTTAAGTTCAGTCATATCTTCAATTCATATGGTGATCAGACACATCCAAGTGCAACACGTGTCACCCCACTCAGTGTTCAAGGGAGGCTTACCAGATACATTTGACCAACATGTTATAGAGTGGTCAAATAAAGCACAAACATGATCAAAACAGCAACCGCTCCAACCTCCTCCACACGTAGGTTGGACAGTATTCACCCAAATGATCGGCTGTGATCTCTCCTGGCAGGTCCCCCCCCCCCCCCCCAACTTCAGGGTGACAACACACAGCGCACAATGTTGGCCACTCCTCTCCAGGAGCCCCAGCTGCATTTCTACATATGCACAAGATCCCACAAACGGTCTCTTGGGATGTCTACGTCGCACATCCTAGAAGGCAGTTCACAGGATCTCAGAAATTGGCATCGTGGGGTCTCTGCCAGTTTCACCAGCAGAGGTCTCGGCATACCTGTGCAGACTTTCCACGTAGCTCTGCCAGGTCCCATAGACCTAGCAAAGGCCACCACAGTGTGCCTGTACATACATCAAATCTCAATTCAAGATGGTGGCACTAGAGAAAAGCAGTGTAAAGAGAACTTTGCCTGCATGCAACAACGCTGGACTCCATGGACTTATACGTTTTTTTTTGTGTTAGGGACAAGTGTGTTAGGGATATGAAATTTCATATTTAATAGGCAAGGCAGAGTTCCTCTTTAACAAATATGTAAACCCACTCACTAAAATAATTTACAAAAAGGGCTTTTATGTTACTTATGGACCTCTATTAATATACTTATAGATCTACAGGTACTTACCTTTCTTCCAGGCTGTACTCCAGGAGTGTCAGCATCTACAATAAATCCTGTGAAAGCCTTTCCAGTTGAGGATTTGGGGTCAGGGTTAGTCCGAGCCAAAAGAAAATACCTGCAGAACAGAACAAAACAGATTGCTATGTAGCTGGAAAAAAAAAAAGCAGCAAGTTCAAAATCTGTTAGGCTGTTTAAATTGCTGGGCTACTTTTTCTGCAGTAACCCATGCTAGGGAGGCCTGTAAAAATTAATGTGCGCATCATTCTTATATTGCAATTCATTCCCCTACTTTATAATTAAGTTTTTTTTGTAATCCCTTTAAAAATAAAATTTCTTGCAGCAGTCTAAGTAGTCTGTCATTTGTATTCCCCAATTCATCTTCTTCCTGCAGCAGTGATGGCCATTTCTGAATACTGCACAGAGGAGCATCACATAATGTGTCCTGTTCCCTGCAGCATTCTCCTGCGAGCCCAGGGCAGCTTGATGCACCCCAAGGAGCTTGGTCTTTAGTACCCAGGGCTCATAGAAGTAGGGCAGTAAGGAAGATAGACATTGGCTCAAATACAAGCTTTCACAAACATGCTACATCAGACAAAACAGTACCAGAAGTGTGTAAGTAGCTTTTTTTTGTAATTATATATGCTTTAGGAGTAGTTCTATTCCCTCATTAAATATTCAGGCTCTGCTTCCTGCTTTGCAGCGCCACACAGCACTTGTGTCTTCCTGCTTCTCACAAGAACCCCATCCCCAATTGACAGCCTGCGGGGATTCTTTTACCCTGCAACAGCTGTCACTTTTAAAATTGGCACGGCTGCGCCTGCACCGCTGCATCATTCATTCACAGAGATCTGTGAATGAACAAACTACAAGTCCTCTCAGTCACTGCAGCAGAGAGACTTGTAGTTCTTAATGGACCATGAGTGTGGTAAGCAACGTACTGCTACTCCATTAAACCTTCCTTCAGCTCTCTAAATGAAAGCTCATACAAAAAGGTAAGGGCAGAAAGCTGGAGGAAGAGTCTGCAGGAGCCTGACACTGCACACATGATCAACTGCTATTTAAGAAAAAATTGATAAAATGCACAAATTCTTACATGGAAAAAAATGTGCATTTATTTATTTTTTTTAAGGTAAAACGTAGCCTTTAGGCTATGTTCACACTACTTTGACCTGAAAATCATGTGACTTTTCCAGATGACTTCCTGGCAATTTGGTTGCAACTTGAGTATGACTGTTGATGCGACTTAAGTAATACGACTTTGCCTGAGTAATCATCCTGTAATGTTGGATCCAAATCACATCAATATAGATGAGGTTCTGACTTGGAGGCAACTTCCATTAAAGTCTATGGGCACAAGTCGGATGGAAGTCGCATTAAAGTAGTACAGGAACCTTTTCTAAAAAGTTTGAGCGACTTCAGTAGTGCCAATTAAGACAGCTCTCATTGACCAACATGGGATTTGACATGTCATGCGACTTGGGGTCGCAGCACTGTGAACAGAGCCTTAGTCACAGTAAACTCACCACAGAGTTCCTAAGGCTCGGTTCATGCGTCTGTGACTTGGGATCTGACTTGTGAGACCCCCAAGTTGCATGCCATGTGAAATCCCATGTTGGCCTTGCTAGAGGTTACTGCACATCATTACCACTCATTAAGTGGCAGTGCTGGTGGGAGGATTGTATGGGATCAGTCAGTGGCAGCTCCTGAACTTTCTAAGCGAGAAGCGTCACGCGATGTGGTTTGCCGCGCGACTGATTGCGTGACAACTACACTACATTTTCAGGTGCCATTTATTATGCAGCCCTGCGATTTGTCATTTTAGCAGAAGGTTTTGAAACCGTGGTGAAAACCCCTGGTCCAAGATGATGATGATTGATGGGGGGGGGGGGGGGGGGAAGGAAAGGGAAAAAAGGAAAGGGAAGAAGAAAGAAGAAAGAAGGAAGAAGAAGAAGGAAGAAGAAGGAGAAGAAGGAGGAAAGGAGGACTGGTGGACCGGAGTGAAGATGCTTCACCAGTCAAACATCAATCACAGCAGACCCCTTGCCAATTACGATAATTTAGACCCTCCAGGTTTAATATTCTGGGGCATCAAAAAAATACAGGAGAAGGAACAACATAAAAGAACTGAGTCAGAAGGAATCGCAACAAATCTATGAAGATGCAACTTTGGTACCACAGGGGTTAAATATACATTTTGACTTAAAATCAACACTAACCCACCAGAGTTCCTAAGAGAGATAAGGAACTATTAGGTAGGTTAACTCTCTACCCAGTTACCCTCCTGCACAGCAGCATCAGGCTGCTTACAGGGAGTTACAAAGAGAGCAGTGTGTTGCACTTGGGTACATGGCGTCCTGCCTGCGAGTCATCAGAAGTATGGGGAGCACCATCGTAATACCATCTCATAGGTGGATGCATTTTTTGGTATTCTGTTTTAGACTGCAACGCAAACAAATATATACACTAGGAAAAAATGACCCAGAGATAGGACATTTAAATGCTCAGGAGAACTGAAGATTACTCTGCAAGATGTATCAATTGTACCACCAACCCAGGAATCTCAAAGTGTAAATAAAGTAACAAACCTTAAAGTGCAAACAAACAATAAAACCTGTCAAAAAAAACCAAAAACAGATGAAATGCATTTAATGATTTTCAGAGATGCAAACTTTGGTTAAATGCAAGATTTTCATTTAAATGGTTTTATTAATGATTTTAAATGTTGCATAGGGTTACAATTTATAATTTCTACACTAGATGGTGCTGGAATTCAACATTTGTTCCTCTTGGAGTTTAAATACCACCCAAAAGAAAGCTCTATTTTGTGAAAAAAAAAAAATTGTATTTGGGTACAGTGTTGCACGACAGCGCAACTGTTATTCAAAGCGCCGGAAGCTGAAAAAATGGCCTGGGGAGGAAGGGGGTGAAAGTGTCTGGTATTGAAGCGGTTAAAAAAAAAACCCCATGCGTGCGCTGGGGAGGAATAAAGAGGAAAGGCTGATGTGTGTACTGGGGGTGGATCTCATTGGTGTAGCATGCACTTTTTGACTAAATTTCACAACTCCACAGAACACCCCAGTTAGAAAGAAAAAGTGGTGCTTAGGCATTCACCTTTAGTTTACCTTTCATTACATGTTATACATGACCGCGTCATTCATTCACAGTATTGTGTGAATGGGAAAACTACAAGTTCCCTATTAAGCACTGTGGTAATTCATTGACTCTTCCTGTCAGTGTCCATCTGCCTGCCTGAACAAAGTACAAGCACACAGATACACCAACAAGTCTGCAGAAGTCCTGCATGGCACGAAACAATCTACTGATCGCTGGTACAGTGCTTTCCAGGCTCCTAAAACAAAAATAGTAAATGCATAGTTTACCTGCAAAAAAAAAAAAAAAAAAAACCCACAATAAGCATTCAATATTTTGTTAAAAAGTGAACTTATCCTTTAAAAGATAAGTTCATCTTAATAACACACACTTCATTGCAGGTATAAATAAAAAAAAAAAATATATGCTTTTTTCCCCCCCGGAGCCTCTAAAGCAGTGGTTCTCAAGCTTCCTAATGCCGTGACCCTTTAATACAGTTCCTCATGTTGTGGTGACCCCCAACCATAAAATTATTTACCCAGTAATTATAATTCATGAGTGTCGTTTTACCTCCAATACTGCTGCTTTCAGCACAGTAGCTGCTTTCAGCACAGTAGCTGCTTTCAGCACAGTAGCTGCTCTTTACACATCAGAAAGATGTGTTTTCCGATGGTCTTAGGCGACCCCTGTGAAAGGGTCGTTCGACCCCCAAAGGGGTCACGACCCACAGGTTGAGAACCACTGCTCTAAAGCATTGCACCCACGATCAGCAGATCACAGATGTAATGCCACAGTCCACAGACTGTGTAGCTGTGTGCCCGTACCTCCGGTATGGGCAGGCAGTTACACTCCGACAGTAAACAGCACCCAGGTATTTCAGTGAGAACTACAAGCCAACAGCCATAAAGGCTGTCGGAACTTTACTTTTCACATAAAACTGAATGAATGTTGGGCGGCCAGATTGTGATTGGGTGTGTGTGTGAGTGTGTGTAGGGGAGGGGTGTTGAGGGTGAGATCCCCCACTTTGTCAAAATGGGGGGATTGGGGGGTACAGAGGCTCAGTGGCTGAATCAACACAGATGCTGCTCCTAATTTGGGATCCGTGCAGGTGCATGGCCCCAAACACACGTTGTCTGCAATAGGGCAGTGCGCTCACACCTGCACAGATGTCAGATTGAGACCAGCATCTGTGTCCATGCAACCTCTGCACCCCAAGTGACATGAAAGGAATTGCCTGCATGGGGACGCATGGAACACCTGTGCATCCCTGTGCTGGTAAAACATGGCCCTCCATGAGCATATGCTCTACTTCACCCCGTGTGAACAAGGACTGAAGGCCGAGGAAGAGAGGAAGAAAAAAAAACAAAATATGGAACTCAACACATTACCAGTTTGCTTTGCCCCCATTGGTGATCCACATCTTCTGTCCATTGATGATGTACTCATTGCCCTTCTTCTCTGCTCTTGTCTTCAAGCCGGCCACATCTGAGCCAGCCCCAGGTTCAGTTACACAGTAGGCCTGCAGGATAATGCACCATATTGCCTAGTTATACCTTATCCAAATACAAACTCTTATAAAGCAAAAGGGCCAATTTGGGTTCATTTCAGATATTATATACAAAACTGGAAAGAGTGTCTAGATTAGTGGTCTCCAAACTATGGCCCCAGGGCCAGATGCAGCCCTATGCTTATTTTATCTGGTCTTTGGGGCACTATTTCATCCACTGATACAAACAATGGGCCATTATTCCCCCCATTGACTCCAATGATGGGGCACAATTTCTTCCAATGACAAAAAACGATACAGCACTGTTCTTTCTACTGACACCAAAGATGGGGAATTTTTTTTCCCACTGACGTTGGCAACTTTGACTGCCAATGGCCACAGTCTGGCCCTTCTAAAGTCTGAAGGACAGTAAACTGGCCCTTTGTTTAAAAAGTTTGGAGACCCCTGGTCTAGATGACTGTTGTGAAGACACGTCAGTTGAATTATTCATAAAATGTATTGGTAAGGATTAAAATTGATAGAACAAAAATATATATTGTTCACAGAGGGGTGAACGGGTTAATAGTTAACTAACCCTTGTTTGTGCTTGAAAACCAATTTTTATTCCCAAAATATTCAGTGTTATCTCGGTATTTAAACTCCAGTACAATAATAAACTTTGAATTCTGCGTTTCACACCTCAGTGTCTGAATTGTATTATTCCCAAAGTACTTTGTATCCAGCATGATTGGACGGAGGGTGCCGGCATGAACTTGAGTTATCCTAGCAAGGGGGCGATTTACTAAAATTGGAGAACACAGAATCTGGTGCAGCTGTGCAGAGTAACCAATCAGCTTCCACGTTTTATTGAAAAGGCTCATCTTAACAAGCTCAAGTTAAGAGGCTGATTGGTTACAATTCACAGCCGCATCAGTTGTAGTAAATTTCCCCCAGAGTGTGATACTACTGTATGCCATGTTTTATCTGACAGTATTTGTGCAAAGAAAAGGGGGAAAAAAAAAAAAAAAAAAAAAAAAAGACTATTGGCTATCTACTGCAATGGAATATTCCATTCATAAAATGGAGTCTGCATCACATGAAGATCCTCTCCACTTAAAGTGTTACTAAACCCCCGGACCCTGCACTCACTATATCCGCTCCCCCCGGACCCTGCACTCACTATATCTGGTCTCCCCGGACCCTGCATTCACTATATCTGGTCTCCCCGGACCCTGCACTCACTATATCCGCTCTCCCCGGACCCTGCACTCACTATATCCGCTCTCCCCGGACCCTGCACTCACTATATCCGCTCTCCCCGGACCCTGCACTCACTATATCTGGTCTCCCCGGACCCTGCACTCACTATATCCGCTCTCCCCGGACCCTGCACTCACTATATCTGGTCTCCCCGGACCCTGCACTCACTATATCCGCTCTCCCCGGACCCTGCACTCACTATATCTGGTCTCCCTGGACCCTGCATTCACTATATCTGGTCTCCCACAGCACAAGAACATGGAAACGCAATTATTTTAGAAAATATAAACTGCTAAATACCTTTTCTCATCAGCAGTTAGAGCCGTCTTGTGACTATCAGTGTCTGGACAACCACTGGGTAATCTTGTAGGAGTTTTTATTTTCCCCTGACTGTTCTATAAGGCTGCACAACCCCTGACCCTTTGTCTGGACAGTGCTGATTGGCCCTGTACTGATCACATGCACCCTTCCCAAAGAAGAAAAAAAATAAATAAATACTCTATCAATATACACCACAGAGCATGTGCAGACTTGGAAGTAATGCTCTAACTATGGCAGATGGATTGGGGACAGCAATAGGGGAGGATTAGGGAAGACCGGATCAAATAGTCTTTTTTTCTTTTTTTTTTTTTTTTTAAACACAGGATTAACCCCTTAGGTTCCACAGTGAGTATAACAAGCATGCTTTGCTGCAGATACAGACTGAGTTTTCTGAAGCGTTCAAGTGTTACTAAACCCACAACAGTAAAATCAAACTTTGGGAGAGAGACCAGTCATGCGGCTTTGACAGGCTAGATGACGGGCTCTCTTCCCAGCTTCTCCTTTCCTTCCATTGAAAAAAAATAGCACTTGGGACTCAGAAGCCAATGGAGCACAATGCAAACAGCACATAAATCACTCCAAACACTCTACTTACACACATCAAAGGTTCTTCCGTCATTCTTCCCAGGTACTTCTTCTGCTGTGTCTCATTTCCAGCTATTATCACAGGCATTTGCTGCAAAAATGAACACATCTGTCACCATCTCCAAATACAAAGTGCTTTCAGTGTTTCACAGTGCCAACAGCAAATCTGTAAAGAGTGTCCTTAAGTGTACTAACCATCTTCTTCCTTTTTTTCCCCTCAGCTTAGCCGATTAGTTGCTAGGGCCAAAAGAATATTTTCCTTTAGAAAAATACGGTTTGTAAGGCATAAAAGATGCCTGAAGGAAGACTATCCATTATCCATGGCAGAAAAAAAAAATCTGCCTTTTATGCTTCCACATGAAAAGGGGCATTCTATTTGGGCACCAAGATTTGTTACCTCTTCGATTTATTGACAAGACCAGCTTTATAATATATCCCATAAGAGCTAGAGATGTTTTAAAGTGGTTGTAAACCCTTACATATATCCTATGAAGTGACTGGCCTCAGGTGATACACAGATGAAACAAAGCCTCCTACATAAGTTGTACCTGTTTATCCGCAGTCTTCTCTACATCTGTTTAAAAAGTACAGAATTTATAAATCTTCAAAGCAGGGGGTGGAGAGCTGAAATTACACTCTGCAGAGCTCAGTGAGGAGAGCTCTGAGAGCTGATTGGAGGGAGAGACACCCCCCTCCACACAGCTCACAGGAACAGAGCTGAGGCTGTCAATCTGCTGGATGTCCCTCCACTGTCACCATTTTTCTCTTGGTGTCAGGAAAACTTGTCAGAAGTGATTCATGCTGATAGCAGAGGAACAAAAGCAGCAGACAGAAGTTACAGTGCTCCTAATTGAGACAAGTACACACTATAGAGGGATAGGTTTTGTTCATATTTCACGTCAGAGGTTTACAAATACTTTAACATGGCAGTAACGCAAGACTGCTCAGGTGGCGCCCTCTAAGGGTGATGAGGAGAATCTCATCTGGACTCAAGCCCTCCTCTTGTTATGTATAAAGTAGAAACAGGGCCTGGCTACAGAATCTCCCCACATTGATCCCACAATGTTCACATTAACAGGAGACCAGCACAAATCCCCAAAACAGGACATTCTAAAAGCATTCTACAATAAAAGAAAATGAATCCTCCAATTTACCAAAGTAGCAAAAGAGAAGGTCATTTGTAAATGAAGAGCTGCTAACTGACTTCTAAACAGACGTTTAGTAAAGTAGATTTGCAGGCTAAACCCTAACTAATCTTAAAGATTCTCCCTCCTCACATCTATGCCGATTAACCTTTGTAAGATGTATATACTTACCGCTCCGGTCACATGATCTGCCTCCCCTGTGTCAGCCAGTGGCTGCTGCAGGGGAGAGGAGGGAGCGCTCAACAGCTGGCAACGCCTGGAATGGTGGCATCTCCCACAATGGTGTGAACTATGCCACTGGAAACTATATTACCTACTATCCATGCGTTTTGGCAAAGAAACAATGCACTGGATTGCATGTGGTATAAACCGGCCCTTAGACAGGTTTTTTTTTTTCATCCAGTGAACAGTTACAAAAAGGGGGTGGGAGGAAAGTGCCCAAGGGGAGAGGAAATCCCAGCGTTGTCTTTAATGCAAGTTTATCCTCAAGTTCCATTATCCTAAATTGCAAAAACCTTGCATAACAGGCACATCAATGTACCTGTACATATAGCCAGGAAGAGACGTGGAGCTCCCTGTAGCAATCATGCACACAGAGATGGAAGCGGCCATCCATTTTGCTCCAAACCCCTCCATCTTGTATCTCTTTCTCCCAAATCAGATTCCTCCGATATCCCCCTCCCCCTCTGTTGAGTGACATGTGGTCTGGATGATGACAGAGATCACAGGCAGCAAACTCATTGGGAGGGTGTTATGGCTATAGACCCCATTAGCTGGTGCCCCTATGTCTGCGAGACTCTTGCTGGAGAAGGGATCGTAAAGTCACAAACCAAGCCCTCACTGCGCTTCAAAGACATTCCAGGTAGTCGAAAAACAGACTTACATTTAAAAACTCACTTTTCCATATAATTTTATATCTGCAAATAGGACATAATTGCATAAACAGGGAGCACATATACGGACGGCTCATTTTAATACAAGTCGCCTAATATATTACAACCCCTAGCTGGCATATACAGGAGAGCAGAAAATGATATCTCCTTAACTATCCAAGCAGGTATAACATATTTCACATCTAACCATTCAGCAGATTCGTCTGCATATTACTCTACTAGTGGTCAGGCTGCTAAATGCACCGAGAATAAGTTATGAACCATGACATCAACAGAGTTTTTGGTCATAGCTTGGGTCTTCGCCTGCAACACCCACCCAAATGATTCGATTGGTTCTCTGCTTCAGGGAGACACCCTGCTGAGTTCCTAGAAAAAGCCAAGTTAAAAAGATTCTCCCTTTTAACATCAGAACTAACTTTGGGAGCTAAGGCCTCTCTCTCTCTCATGCAAATTAAGATTCCCTGCCTCTGAAGAGTGCTACTGTATGTTTTAAACTTCAGTATATCTCTGCCTGCGGTGAAAGTGGTATACCAATGCTTATGCAAACATCATAGTGTTATTGCCGAGTTTCCCTTCTCTGTACAAAAAGGGGGTGGAAGTGTGAAGGGTTAATTGCATAATTAACCTGACCCAGTAACAATCCCTCCCAGGCTGCAGATGTACAGATTGTGGTCCATTAGTTGGAAAATCTTTGTGCAGAGTGCAGCTGGGCGTGGCATTGTTACGCACGTGACAGCACGGTTTTAGATTGTGAATTCTTATACTGTACCGCGCTCCAATGTTATCAACCTTTTGTGATTGACCTTTTTTGATTGTGTGAATTTCTTAATATACCACCTATAATCCAATCATTACTTACTTCTATGGTGCTTAAATATACAATTAACATAAATTAATTTATAAATGTGAATTAAAAAATTATATGTGATTATAACAAATATCAAAAAAATTAATGGAAAAATTGGAATGTCAATTCTATGTGAATAAAATTAAAAAAAAAAAAAAAAAAAATTAATAAAACATTAATAAAAAATATGGGAATGTCAATTATTTTCTTTGAATTTGAGATGGTGTTGTTATTCAATTTAGTTTATGTGATAAGTCTGTGTTGGCAGCTTAAACCTCTCCCTCTTGTCTCCTCTCCTCTCTCCTCAGCTCAGCCTTCTCAATTGTGCTTTCTTCACTGGCTGCTTTGTTTATTCCTCCATATACGGAACATGCAGAGAAGGGAAAAGAAACATAGTGTCTTATCCGGGATATAAGTGATTTATTGCTCTTTGATCTCCCACTCACATTGTGTAAATGTAAATAACGCTTTGCATACAATGTATCCAGATCATGCTTCAGACAGCCTGGCTGATGTGTTTGTTCTCAGTAAATATACTCGCCGTTCCTCTGTGGATGCGTGATAACGTCACCGCCCCTCCCCTACGCGTTACGCTACAGGGACTCGTAGCTTCCTCTGGGGGATGTGGATTTGTGAAATCCACATCCCCCAGAGGAAGCTACGAGTCCCTGTAGCGTAACGCGTAGGGGGAGGGGAGGGGCGGTGAAATCCACATCCCCCAGAGGAAGCTACGAGTCCCTGTAGCGTAACGCGTAGGGGAGGGGCGGTGACGTTATCACGCATCCACAGAGGAACGGCGAGTATATTTACTGAGAACAAACACATCAGCCAGGCTGTCTGAAGCATGATCTGGATACATTGTATGCAAAGCGTTATTTACATTTACACAATGTGAGTGGGAGATCAAAGAGCAATAAATCACTTATATCCCGGATAAGACACTATGTTTCTTTTCCCTTCTCTGCATGTTCCGTATATGGAGGAATAAACAAAGCAGCCAGTGAAGAAAGCACAATTGAGAAGGCTGAGCTGAGGAGAGAGGAGAGGAGACAAGAGGGAGAGGTTTAAGCTGCCAACACAGACTTATCACATAAACTAAATTGAATAACAACACCATCTCAAATTCAAAGAAAATAATTGACATTCCCATATTTTTTATTAATGTTTTATTAATTTTTTTTTTTTTTTTTTTTTTATTAATTTTATTCACATAGAATTGACATTCCAATTTTTCCATTAATTTTTTTGATATTTGTTATAATCACATATAATTTTTTAATTCACATTTATAAATTAATTTATGTTAATTGTATATTTAAGCACCATAGAAGTAAGTAATGATTGGATTATAGGTGGTATATTAAGAAATTCACACAATCAAAAAAGGTCAATCACAAAAGGTTGATAACATTGGAGCGCGGTACAGTATAAGAATTCATACTTTATATTTATACACCTAGAGAGGGTGTAATTAGTGCCTAGCGATCTAATATTTAATAAATATTCACTTAAGCACACAATTAACACTAATAATAGAGTAAGTTAACTCCTGGTGGCTCACAAAAAACTATTTTATTAAAACGGTTTTAGATTGGCTAGTCGTTCGATCACGAGGTTGGTGAGAAGGGCTGGGGTCTGACGCCGCGATCATCACACCCCAATGGTCTCACGTTCAGTGAATGCCAATATGCAAGCAGTGACATCAGGTGCTCGAATTTATTGCTGGACCATCCCTGTGATGAACAAAACAGTGAGGCATGGGAGATGGCAGGGTGAAGTGTGACTTCAGGCACTGCTTTTGGGCTCCTACCTCTAGCCAAGTATGATTGCCATATGTCTAGGACAATTTAGGTGAATGCAAAATTTACTTTGAAGTTTTTTTGTTTTTTTTGGTTTTTTTTGGGTTACATAAACTTTAGTGAGCTTTAAAATGCTGAAGGCTGTTAATGGAAATGCATCTCTCTTTAAGTCAGTGCACGCAAACCTTTTCCTTACTCAGCTTGCCATGAACCCGGGCCAATTCTGACATTTCTGTCATACATTATTTAACGATTGTCATGGTTTGCAGGAAAACTGCTTACAAACCCCAAACAGTATATTTAAGCAGAAGCCCTGGAGAATAAAATGGCTTTGTTGCAATTTTATACATCATGATATTTGCATGGTGGGTTAGCAAACACAATTTTTTGTTGAATAAAATACATTTTAATACACAAAAGACCCAATTTGTTGGTATAATATAAAAGATTATGTTACGCAGAGTAAATCAATACCCAACATATCACACTGTAAAACTGCACACGCCCATAGAACAGCGACAAATTATAGTAGCTAATCTCCACAGGTGATGCTTTGAAACCCTTTTACAGGCTACAAATTTAGAACTATACAGATTTGGGGCTAGAATTATTGCTCTCACTCGGACATTCGCAATGATACCTCTTATGTGTGGTTCGATCATCGTTTATACATGTGTGCGGGAGCTACGTGCGCAGTTGAATTTGCGTGTGAGCACAGGGGCACTTTAATTTTTTTACACACTACCTTTAATTTAATGGCATGGACAGTGACAGTTCAATTAGACCCCAGATCTCTCCTCTGCCCTCCAAAGCATCTGATCAGACCAAGATAGGTTTCATTAGAAGCTTTTATGAACCATCAACAATCTGAAACCAGAAGTGACCAAATCCTTGTTGCTTCCGGTTTCTGACATCACAGATAGGAGGCGGGGAATGATGTACCTGACTCTCCTCCCAGTGCCTCGTAGATCTCAGCGACGGTAGTACTCTGCTCCCTGATCGCTCGGGAAAGCCTGGTAAAGGAAATGGGCAGGGGGTCCACCGATCGCTCGGGAAAGCCTGGTAAAGGAAATGGGCAGGGGGTCCACCGCTGCCTGTAAAAGTGATCCAGCAGCTCTATTGCCACTTGGTTCATTTTTACTTTGTAGGAAATGGACTGCTAAAAAAAAAAAAAAAAAAAAAAAAAAAAAAAAAAAAAAAAAGAAGGGGGATCTCTGGCATTGCTGCCGATATCACCCTTCCCATCTGAGGAAGATATACGTACGGTAGACAACAGGGGCGGACTGACCCGAAACTCGGGCAATGCCCAGGGCCCAGGGTCAGCAGGGGGCCCAACGAGATGCCCCTGGTACCTTTTTCATAGGCTTTTTTGAGTTTGGGCAAGGACACAGGGGCCCCATGATCCCCTATTGCTCAGGGGCCCCATGAGTTGTCAGTCCACCCCTGGACAGGAAGCAGTTGAAGTGAAAGTTTAGGCTAAAAAAAGTCTGCTTATAAACATTGCTAAACATCTTTTCTGGAATCCGCCTTGGTCCGGTCATGAGATGCCAAAGCTCTAGTTCCGGCACCTGACAATGGAGCTGAATTGCCAGAGCCTATATGTCACCCACTGACTTTTATTGCCCCTCTGTGGTCAGGGTTTCCTTCTCTCCTCTGCAGTAGCTGCTGACACAGGGGAGCCCCTACTTCTGCATCACAGGACTACACAGAAGAAAAATGTTTTTGCACACATTTTTACAGACAGTATACAGCATAAAACAAAACTTCCCCTAAAGTCAATTAAAGTGCAGTCTGTTGAAAACTGATGTCAACACAAGGCGACATGATTACACATTCTGTTGAACAGCAAGCCAAAGCTAAACAAGAGCAGTGAGACTGATTAACCCCTTAGTGCCTCCCAGCCCTTTCTTGGATTCCAGTAGGTGGGGGCAGGGTTTCTGATCATGTGACCGCCACGATTGGCGGTCACAGTGGTCACATGGTTGGAAAGCTCCCAACTGCAAGTAGAGATCAGGAGCAGTTAACCACTGGTAACAGTGCTGGGAGTGCGCAGCACACAGCTCTGACTATCTTTAGGTTTGCATATATACGGCCTCTTGACGTTAGGGCCTACCCACAGAGAGGCCGCATATATCTGTATGATCAGCAGGAAAGAGTTAACTGTAAAGCAAGCCATAGATCATGCAATTTTGTTTCCAGCAATAAAGGGCTGCAGGAAAGAAAATTGCTCAGTTCCCTCCTGCAGTGCACTGTTCTGCCGGCAGGGAGCTTTCCTTGCTGGCAGGACACAATGACCACTTGCTGGTGGCTATAGCTGTAGGCAGTAATCTAATGCAAAAAAGCCAACAGGTTGGTTGCACTGAAGTTGATCAATGGATCTCCTTTAGTATAACCAGCTTGCCCATAACTAGATCCAATCTTGGCTGGTCCCTGCTGAACTGGTCGAGAATTGATCCTTCTATGGCTGTCTTAATTCAATATAATTGAATGGCCCCCATGCTCGCCTGACCTAAATCCAATAGAACACCTCTGGGATATCATGTTTCGGTCCATCTGATGGCACCAGGTTGCACCTCAGACTGTCCAGGAGCTCAGTGATGTCCAGACTAGGGCGGAAATATCCCAGGACACCATCCGTCGTCTCATTAGGAGCATCCCCTGACGTTGTCAGGCATGCATACAAGCACGTGGGGGCCATACAAACTACTGAGTACCATTTTGAGTTGCTGCAATGAATTTTCAGAAAAATGGACTAGCCTGCTGTATCGTTTCACTTTGATTTTCGGGGTGTCTTTGAATTCAGTCCTCTGTAGGTTGATTATTTTCATTTCCATCAAATAATGGGGCATCCTTATGTTCCCAACACATTACCCCGTCCATGTCAGTATAAATATCCAGCATGAGATTTTTTACCATTAAGATCTGATGGGTTTTCAATGTGTTCCATTAATTTTTTTCAGCAGTGTATACAAATGCATTTTGTACTTCAGGTTCAGCGTATAGGATAGGAAAGCAGAAAACCCCTGTGACATCATGAAACAAAACTAGCACCACTACTTGAACAAAAAAGCAAAAAGTTTAATCTGCTTCAAAGAGAAGAGCCGGCACAATTGTGCTGGTAAGGGCAGAGTTCAGTATTAACTCTTCACATACTCACCCCCAGGGAGTTGGCCTCTATGGCAGTCTGAATACCAGTGCATCCATAGGCAATTTCCTCAGTAATCAGACAGGTGTCAAAGATGCCTAGGTTCAGACCACCTGTAGGAAGACCACACATACAGAAGTCACATGACAGAAAACAATGCAAATCCATCAAAACTGGCACCACACCATGTACAGCTAATCAGCAAGAGGTTATAATGGTGCACTAGAACAAATTTATATCTTTTTTGAGGTTTCATCTGTTCTGTTAGGAGTTCGCTCACTTTTATATACTACATGTACCGGTACATTTCCCGTCTTCAAAACATTCCTATTGGCCACTGCAACAGCTTGCCACAGTGATGGACCAATAAGAATGTGTAAGGCAGGAGGAATCAAACATCAACATTACCAGATATGTCAGAGCTTTGCCAGCACAGCCCAGCAGATACAAATTGTGAATAGGTTGGCGCTAAAACATCCGTGCAAAAAAAACAAACAACAAAAAAAAATTGTAAAATAATGAGACTCTCAACATCTATCAAATATACATCTGACAATCAAATAGTGAATACAATATACAGTGGGGCAAAAAAGTATTTGGTCAGCCACCAATTGCAAGTTCTCCCACTTAAAAAGATGAGAGAGGCCTGTAATTGGCATCATAGGTAGACCTCAACTATGAGAGACAAAATGAGAAAAATCCAGACAATCACATTGGCTGATTTGGAAAGAATTTATTTGCAAATTATGGTGGAAAATAAGTATTTGGTCACCTACAAACAAGCAAGATTTCTGGCTCTCACAGACCTGTACCTTCTTCTTTAAGAGGTTCCTCTGTCCTGCACTCATTACCTGTATCAATGGCACCTGTTTGAACTTGTTATCAGTATAAAAGACACCTGTCCACAACCTCAAACAGTCACACTCCAAACTCCACTATGGTGAAGATCAAAGAGCTGTTGAAGGACACCAGAAACAAAATTGTAGACCTGCACCAGGCTGGGAAGACTGAATCTGCAATAGGCAAGCAGCTTGGTGCGAACAAATCAACTGTGGGAGCAATAATTAGAAAATGGAAGACATACAAGACCACTGATAATCTCCCTCGATCTGGGGCTCCACGCAAGATCTCACCCCGTGGGGTCAAAATGATCACAAGAACGGTGAGCAAAAATCCCAGGACCACACGGGGGGACCTAGTGAATGAACTGCAGAGAGCTGGGACCAACGTAACAAAGGCTGCCATCAGTAACACACTACGCCGCCAGGGACTCAGATCCTGCAGTGCCAGACGTGTCCCCCTGCTTAAGCCAGTACATGTCCGGGCCCGTCTGAAGTTTGCTAGAGAGCATTTGGATGATCCAGAAGAGGATTGGGAGAATGTCATATGGTCAGATGAAACCAAAATAGAACTGTTTGGTAGAAACACAACTCGTCATGTTTGGAGGAGAGAGAATGCTGAGTTGCATCCAAAGAACACCATACCTACTGTGAAGCATGGGGGTGGCAACATCATGCTTTGGGGCTGTTTCTCCGCAAAGGGACCAGGACGACTGATCCATGTACAGGACAGAATGAATGGGGCCATGTATCGTGAGATTTTGAGTGCAAACCTCCTTCCATCAGCAAGGGCATTGAAGATGAAACGTGGCTGGGTCTTCCAACATGACAATGATCCCAAACATACCGCCCGGGCAACGAAGGAGTGGCTTCGTAAGAAGCATTTCAAGGTCCTGGAGTGGCCTAGCCAGTCTCCAGATCTCATCCCCATAGAAAACCTTTGGAGGGAGTTGAAAGTCCGTGTTGCCCAGCGACAGCCCCAAAACATCACTGCTCTAGAGGAGATCTGCATGGAGGAATGGGCCAACATACCCGCAACAGTGTGTGCCAACCTTGTGAAGACTTACAGGAAACGTTTGACCTCTGTCATTGCCAACAAAGGATATATAACAAAGTATTGAGATGAACTTTTCATATTGACCAAATACTTATTTTCCACCATAATTTGCAAATAAACTCTTTCCAAATCAGCCAATGTGATTGTCTGGATTTTTTTTCTCATTTTGTCTCTCATAGTTGAGGTCTACCTATGATGCCAATTACAGGCCTCTCATCCTTTTAAGTGGGAGAACTTGCACAATTGGTGGCTGACTAAATACTTTTTTGCCCCACTGTATATGGTGACAGTCCCATGAAGACTTATTTCTGTAGACCAAAAATTGTGCGCTATCACGTGTAGACGAATAAGTGAATTTCTCACTCACCAGAAACAACTGACCCCAATTAAGGTGGTCAGGTACCTCCGTTAGGGCTCATTCACACTTGACTTTTTTTCCAACTCTTGCCCCTATAGCGTTTGACAAGCATTGGTCCGGCGTTTGCGAAGCATTTTTAATGCTCCAAAACCGGCGCATGCGCGGTTTAGCGGAGGTTGCCAAACTTCAAAAACGCCCCACAAATGCCTATAATGAAGGTTGAATAGTGTTAACGCTCCGCAAAACACCTCGCAATCACACGGGCGTTTGCAGAGCGGCACCACAGAGTTGAAGAGGAGGCTTCAACTCCTCCTGACTCGACCAGAGGCGTCCGTTTTGCTGCAACGCTAACGCTCCTGTTTGAACAGCACTATGTGCTGCAATGTGCAGAATTTTCTGAGGCGTTTGGAAAATGGTAAAACGCTTCCCAAACGCCGCTTGCTAACAAGGCTAGTGTGAACGTAGCCTCAAAGTAAGAATTGAAGACCAGCAGCAGGCTCTCCTAGGATATACCTCCCAATCCTCAGTAAATCAGATAATTGCCCCCAGTTTGATATTCACAAGGCTCCAAATATAGCAATAGTGAATGGACTTTTAATACCAGGATCTCCTTAAAACAAAAGGTGATGCTCCAAGTAGCTCACATAAATCAGATGAATTATACATCCCAAGTGTAATATTTGTTGGAAATTTCATGGCAACTACACATATAGCTTTACACTCACATGTAAAAAAGGTGCCCAAAGAACCAGCACAAGTTTGTACAGCCTATGCAGAGGAGCAATCCCAATAATATGGCTGGCGTGTGTTCCAAGCCTCGCTTTCGATAGGCCGGATGTGACGTCACGGGAACACGGACGTGACTGGATCACGCTTCTATGCAAGTTTCGCCTGGCGGCATCCTCAGGGAGTGACATACAGCCATTACCAGGCAAGTTAAATAGAGACAAAACCACATTGATTGGATGGTTCCAAAAACATGGCAAACCACGTTGATTGGACAGCTCTGTGTCACTGATCACCGCCATTACTAGTATAATAAATAAAAATTCTAGTGTATATTCCATAGTTTGTAGACGCTATAGCTTTCACATAAGCCAATCGATAGACACTTACTGGGATTTTTTTTTATCAAAGACATGTAGCAGAATACATTTTGGCTTAAATTTCTTAAGAAATTTGATATTTTCTATAGTAGAAAGTAAAAAATATTGTTTTTTGTTTCAAAAAAAAAAAAAAAAAACCAAGTGGTGATCAAATACCACTAAAAGAAATCTCTATTTGTGTGCAAAAAATGATATAAATTTCATTTGGGTACAGTGCTGCAGGACCGCACAATTACAAGTTAAATTAGCACAGTGCTGAATAGCAAAAAAAAAAAAAAAAAAAAAATGGGCTGGTCATGAAAGGGGTAAAACCTAATCAGTGGTCAAGTTATTAACTTGAAAAGTGTTGGAAAAACAAACCATCCCCGACCTCTCTATTCATTCTCTAAGGGTCCAAACACATTTTTTCACTGTGGTAACGTTTTTTTTTTTTCCTGTCACTAAACGCTGCTAAAAGTCTGTGTGCATAGACACTTAAGGGGGACACAGTAAATAGGCAGACAGCTTGTCGTCTTGATGCATCCTGAACATGTTTTACATCATTTAAATGTTAGATTGGGCTTTTAAAGTGGAAGAAAAGCCTAAACCACAACTATTCTTTTAGCGATCATGCATAGCCTTTGTTTAAAAAAAAAAAAAAAAAAAAAAAAAAAAAACAAACACCCCCACACAACTGTATACTTCCAAATCCGGTCACATGACCTTGTAGTTCCAACTGCCCTGTGTAAGGGAGCGCTCGACAATAGCTATAAATTCTGGAGCCTTATCCATAGGCTCCCCTTGTCCAGCCATTGTTGGCACTCCATCTCCCCTGCAGCAGCTGCTCACCAACACAGAGGACCTGGAGCTTAAAGTAGACCCTTACCCATAACAACTTGATAAAAAAGATAATGTTCTTTAGCAAGGATCATACACTCCACATTAATAATTATGCTACAAAAATTAGTGCGTGCTGTAAATTGCCTCCAGCAATGCTCTTGTTTCTTCTTGCTGAAAGCTGCAGTTTTGCTAAAGCCAAGAGCCCTGAAACAGCAGTAAATCCAAAAGTTGAACTAAACCACACACACACCCACCCACCCACCTGCACGTGACACTTAAATTGTGGTGTGAACAGAGCACATAGAGAGAAAATTGATTTCGTTGTGCCCTTGCAGAAAAACTAAAGGCTCTGCATCATGGTGTGAACGAGCCCTTAAACAGTACAGACCCTTATTTTTTATGTTTTATACAGCTATACCTGCAAAAGGGACCAGCATGAAGTGATCTAACAGGACTTAATCCTCTGAATAAAGTTCCACTATAAGGATCACATTACTGTACTTGAGCAGATTAAAAAGGAAGTACACAAGGTATGCAGGATAGGTAGGAGAAAGGAGGAGGGTAGGTTTTTAAAAATTGTTAGGACCCTTTCACAGGAGGTGGTTCTCTGTCTGCTGATCAGAACAGAGCGGGTGGATGACAGGTCCATGGCTGCTCAGTTTATGCAAAGCGGACGCAGACAGAGCCCTGTCTGCACTATAGGTGGTCAGACTCTGCTCTCCATTTACACCCAACTGCTCTGACCAAATCCACCTAGACTGAGGGGGACATATCCCCTTCCATTGGTTTTACCATGCCAAATCAGGTTGCAGATAGGCGTGTGTAAACATACACAAGTCCACTTATGCAGGCCATAGACGGGTCGTTTATTGGCCGAATTTTTGTCCGTATGAAAAATCAGCCGATATTCACGCCGTTAGTGGGGCAATACAGTCGGCCATTTTTTGTGGATTCTTCTCATTTGATTTTATCGGTCATGCTGGAAAATCCACGAAAAAAAAAAAAAACGGCTGTTTTTGTGGACATAGGTGGCAGCACCAATTTTTCTTTTAATTGGCCGACAAACGGCCCATCTATGGCCAGCCTTACACCCGCCAGTGCATAGGACTCAATGGAGGGTCCAATCAGGTCTGCCTAAAGAACTCACAAGCTGACCTGATCGGACCAATCATGTGAAAGGGGCTAGAATATTAGACTTTCCTTCCACTTCAAAGCTACGAATAGGATGACCAATAAAATATACATTCAAGCCTTTAAATACTCCCTAAAACATTTCACCATCAGACAAGCTTGAGACACTGATGACCTTACCGCAGCTTTCAGGAATATGTCCATTCATCAGCCCAAGTTCCCAGGCCCTCTTGATGAGAGGTACCGGATACTAAGAGAAAGGAGAGATTTGCTATTAATAAGACTGCAGTCCTTTGTAATCTCTACAAAGAACACACAGCGCTCCTCCCCGGTTCTGTCATACTCAGCGGCTGCTGGAACGATTTCTTCTCTGGCAAATTTCCGGGCTGTAGCCTGGAACTCTTTTTGCTGCTCGCTGAGCTCTGTATAGACACCAGAAATTGGGGATTGTTCAGAAAAGAAAAAAAAAAGTATGCAAAGTGCAGGCACACATGACAATTCAACGAGGAGGATGTCGCTGCTAACTTTTCTGAAAATGCTAGTTGCCTGGCTATTCTACTCCTTTGCTGGCTGGTTGCCTGGCTATTCTACTCCTTTGCTGGTTGCCTGGCTATTCTACTCTTTGCTCCTATTTTCCTTTGCTGGTTGCCTGGCTATTCTACTCCTTTGCTGGTTGCCTGGCTATTCTACTCCTTTGCTGGCTCCCATACTTTCTTTGAGTCCTTATCCAGAACAAGTTTTCAGGAAAGAAAATTCAGAATTCCTTATATCCATACTTGTTCTGAGATAGCAACAAAGACCTAAAGCCACAGAGTCAGCCTGACACAGTTACCAGCATTCTAGAAGAAAGCCAGCGATGGCGGTGTGTTTGGTATGTCCCTGTATGCCACTTCTATTCTTAGTACAGCCCTTGTTATAGACTCCTAGCCTTTAGGTTCATTGTGTCAGTTGCACCCTTGCAGTGTTAGGAATTAAAGCAGTTCTTCACCCTAGAAAAAAAAAAAAAAAAAAAAAAAAAAAGTCAGCAGTAACAATCCTATAGGTGCTGACTTACCTGTCCAGGGATTCAGCGCGGTCCTCACCTGGGCTAGTTATTCACAGTTTTTTGGGTTTCCTGGCACCGGCATCTTTATTGTGTGAAGCCGGCTGTGACAGCCTACTGCACATGAGTGAGCAGCACTTTGAGAATAGGGGGGGGGGGGGGGGGGGGGGGGGGTTTATGCGAACTTCCACTTGAAGCACTTTGGCAATCCAAGCAGAAGTAGGAGTGAGTACCTGTCAAAACTAGGTACTCATCACCTCCCTCCCATGCCAAATGTGGAGGGGGGGGGGGGCTTAAAGTGGAACTTCCCCTTTTGGATGAAGTTCTGCTTTAAATACTTTTATATGCCAGCCTGCAAGAAAACTACGCTGTAGAACTGGCGAGTTAACAGTGCCTTAAAGGATAAGTTCACCTTTGAAACATGTTCCACTCGTTTTTAAGCTAGAACATGTAACATGTTCCCATGACCGTCGCCTCCCCCCCCCCCCCCCCCCCCCCCCCCCCCCCGTTGACAAACGGCACAGGGAGCACAGGGAAATCTCCCCATCCTGTTAGATTTGAAAACAGTGTGGCCGTGCGGGGCTCCGCCCACAGGGCCGTGTCACTCGTTCAGAGTTCTGTGAATAAGTGTCTACAAGTCCCGGCAGCCTTAGCAGCTGTCAGCTTGTAGTTTTCAATGAACTACCACAGCGCTGTGGAGCTCCCTGAAAGTTCATTGAAGCTTCCTGTTCGTATATCTGCTTGACCGTACTTCCCGTACAGCAAGTAGATATCCTGACAGGTCTGCAGGAGACCTCCATGGCATCAGTGATCTACTGATTGCTGGTGCAATGCTTTCCAGGCTCCTTTGGACAAAAATAATAAATACACATTTTACTTGCCAAAAAATGTGCATTTATTAATTTTGTCCAAAAGGTGAACTTATCCCTTAAGATGTTGGCGAGCCAGCAAAATTGCAATACTGTCCACCCAGAATGGGTTTTGGGAGGTATACTTTTTGTACTACATTTAAGTCAAAACAGGCAGCCTCCATGTGTTTAGGGGAATTTTTCTTTTTTTCTTTTAATAAAGTGCAGGGCAAATCAGCAGGTTCTTCTTAGTGCAGACCATTACAGATGATTATACTTTGCTTGCACTTCCCTGCCATTCCATTCTGCTGCTGAGAGTAAGCTGTAGGCATGTATATACTGCTGGAGGGGAGTGAGGGATTAAAGCAAATCTTTGCTTCAAATAGGCAAACATTGCTTTAAAAGATTGGCTCAGTCACGTTTGTTTTTTCCTCTCCTCCCAGTCACATGTTTTTTTCTTCTTCTCCTCCCAAAGTCACATGTAAAACGAGATGTAAGGGAGACGTACTGCGTATGAGTTTTATGTACTTTGCCAATGCGTACACGTTTAAGTTGATCTGTCATTACTACACACATAGCAATACCTTCTCAAACTTTTTTCACCAAGTGTAACTGTTTACAAGTCTGCTTGTTTCCTCATAACATGGGATTGCCAGTGCCGCCCATTTAGACCTGCTGCCAAATTCTCCACATGTTCTCATGAATGTATCAGATGCTAATTATAAAGCCAATCTGCAGATAGTTGAAACTTACCAAAGCTGAAGCCAGGGTGGGAGGGGGCGGAGGCAGAGGTGGCAGTGTGGGGGGCCGTGGACTGGGCTCTCCAGCCTTGTTTAGCGATGTGCTGTAGAACCTGCACAAAAATCACAGATAAATTAGACACAAAACAAATACAGTGGTGCCTCGGTTTACGATTTTAATGTAAAAAAAGATGAGAGCTCAGCTTTTTTTTTTTGACCAACATAACAAAAAAAGAGAAGATAATGAACGGAGAGAACGGTGATCGTAGTGATGAGTCCCCACTTGCAGAATCTGCTCTAAAAGGGGACCCCGGATGGTGAGACGCTTGAGACACGCTTATGAAATTTGAAGTATATACCCAAGGTGCGATTGGAAGGTGTAGGATCCTGTCCCTGTCTTGGCCATTGATGAGCGCTGATACCACAGGATAAATCCTACATGCGTTTTTTTTGACGCACTTCTGGTGAGTGCGCAATTTTTACCTCAGATTCACCGTGTGATACACAGAAACTCATCCCACGCACCTACTAGGATCTATTGGATCCCCACGTTTGACCTATTTTGGGACTTGTTCATCTCACTTAACTTCACCGCAGTGCGATTTGACATTTGCACTTTATTATATATGCCATTTTATTATAGCGCTGCATCTTATATATGGTTTTAGATATATATATGTTTATGTGCTAAAATATAAATATATAAAAGCAGCTGTGCACAGTAAAGGAAACCATAAACCTTTCAAAAATGACATAAGATAAAATAGGTGCAGCGCCTTAAAATGTGTGCCACACCCCTTCTGAAGACATACGAGTGTACGAAACACGCCTTGGAGGAGCCTGTATGCGTTGACGTCACGCCGTCGGATCACGGAGGTCCAGCAGCCCCCATTATTTACCAGTTGGTTAGTGCTCATAGCAGCTTTTTGCTGCGGTATCTATTCCTGCCTATTGTTTGTGATATAGCATCTTGGCACTTACCAATTACATGTATGAGGATATCCTATTACTACTTTTTATTTCCTTCATTAAATGTCATTTCAAAGTACTACACTATGGGCATTTCCATCTTTTGCTCTGCACTGAGCATTTATGCGATTATTCCATTGTACTGAAGAGGCTGCATCCGTGTCCTTAGAGTGGACCTCCGGTTTGAATATCCATCCACATGATTTTCATCCATTCCGGGCTGATTCCATTTGCATCCTGAAAAGGGACCCCCTGGAAGACCTCCATTTATTGACACATTGCGCAATACCTTTGCGCGTCCGGTGAGTGCGCATTTCATACATATCCTGCCTCTCAGCGACTCTATGAAAGTGACAACTTTGGGAATATTATAAATAATCTGAGCGCTTATTTATTGTGGACTGTCATCTTTTTCATGACCTAGTTGCTGTACATTTACCAGGACTATGATTTTAATGTTTCCCCCAAGACGTTTCGTATTGCAAAAAATCCACAGACCGAAACATGGTTTCCCATAAGAATGCACTGAAAGCCAATTAATCTGTTCTGGAGATCAGAAAAAAGTAAAAAAGTCTTATCTGTTCAAAACTCTATAAAGTGCAAATATAAATATCAAGCGTAGGGCGAGTGCTGGAACTATCAAGCAGCTAACACCAAGGTATAGGTAACAACTCATTATGAATAAATATATAGAAAGTGCAGCGCTAAAATAAGTGAATGATATTATAGTGAAAAAAAAAAAAAAAAAAAAAATTGATCAGTGGAACAGTCCAGTGCAGCATATAAAAATCAAATATAAAAATTGTTCAATAAATGTGAAACAGTAAAGTGCAGCATAAAAGTGAGAATATATAAAGTCCATAAAATCTCAGTAGAGTAAGAGCTATAAATTGTCCATAAGGATATAAGTACGGCAATCACGGTGAAATATTGTGAAGTGATCCAATAAGGAATCCACCACCTCCGTCATATGTACACTCACCAGACATCTACTGGTGAGCAGCATGTAAGCGCATCTCACCTGGGTACAGGTAACAGCAATGAAGCCTCTGCAAGGGCTGCTCAGCCAAGGGCAAAAAAACACAAGTGGACCCCCTGCTGTGAGGAATAGCTGACCACAGGAGCCAAAAGTAGTATATAGTGTAGTATTTTAATAAATAATGAATAAGACAATCCACGTGGAAACAAGTAAGAATGAAGGTAGAATGGAGTACCAAGACGGCAGCCATTCCAACCTTCGGCAACGGGGGCGTGAAGTCAGCAAGTGAGACTCCATCCAACGCGTTTCGTGCGCATGTACATCTTCAGGGGCACGCTTTTTTTCCCCGCTGTATGTCAGATTGACTTTGCACTTTATTTTCACTATACTGTCACTTATTTTAGCGTTGCACTTTTATACAGTGCACTTTCTACACTTTTTCAATAAAAATATTGAAATATAATGTATATAAAGAAACATAGCCCACCTACATGGTGAGTTGTGGTGAACAGATTCATAGAGTATATAGGCACATAATACATCAACCAATGATATTGTAATAAAGTGCACTTTAACGGCATAAATACTGTACAGGGACGTGATTAAAACATTTCCAGAACGGCTCCAAAACTTGATGCAAAAACCGCTCCAACACCTCCACACTCAAACGCCACGTGCTACCCACAGATTCCAGCATGCACAGGGCGGCGCTATAAACCACCCAGGCGCAATGCATCCTGGGGAAACTTGCTTCATATTGCAAAAAAAAATCATAAATCGAGGCATTATTTTGAATGGATTTTCATTCGTAAACCGAAAATTACGTTAACCAAAGGCGTCCGTAAACCGAGGTACGCCTGTATACCATTCCAACAGCTCTCTTCAGTTTTCTGATATGCTGT